GTGATGATTGATACAAAAAAAGGCTAAATCAGTTCATTATTTCTGTAAAGGTAAAGGTCGAGAAGAGTCCCATTTCCTCATGGAAAAACATCTATCAAAGATCCCAATCATCTGTTTGAACACCCTATTGACACAGACATTGATGACAAGAATCAATGGGATTATGCACCCAGCTTGGAGGCATGTTTTCTAAGGTACACCATCATGCTGAAAAGTGACATCAATACGTAAGTCTTTCATGATTAAAGACTGCAAGTTAAGCAATACTAGTTTGTAGCGAACAAATTCTCAAATTACCTCAGCCTGTTCTTCCGCCTTCGCTGGACTAGGTACAGGAGTAGTCTTCTTTAAGTCACCACTTGACTCAGATGCCACCGGTAGCTGCAATTCTGCTGGATCGGAGTCATTAGTCTCAAGCTTACTATCTACGATGACAGTCGCAATGGGTGCCGAAGAGCTGGATCTTACAGATACCGTAGGACCATCACTACAACCAGCAGTTAGGGTAGGTGGAGTAGGCCCAGATACAGTGGCGACCAAACTTGTGGGCGAAATGAGCGAGACTCCATTCGCAAGGTTATTCGATAAAATAGCTGTGCCGTGATTGCTGCTACCTGTAGCAGTTACCGATTCGGTTACTATGGTTGCAGCAACAGGCTGAGCAGAAGTAGCCACCACAGGCAATGTCTGCAAAGGGCCTGCTCCAGGAGTCAATGCAGACGTGGTGACAGTCAGTTCACTCGTGGCGGAGTCACCCACACAGGCAACTGAGAGAACAAGCTGTGACAGAGAACCGCCCTCGCAAGCTGCCAACTGCTGTTCCATCAAAGTATAATGACCGGCCTCCTTTGCAAAACGAAGACGCAAAGGAGGCCCAGTGCCACTAGCACTTAGTGGAGAAGGCTCACCCCCACCCGAAACGCTGAGAGAGCTATAGAGGAAATAAAACCAGCGGTACGTATCAGAGATTATCATAAAGAGATAGCGCCAAATTTTAAGAATGAGAAAGCAACCCTGTAAAAAAATGTGATTACTGGTTTATGAATGATGGTTTAGGATGGAGTTGTAGTGCATGTGTATGTAGTACATAAAGGTGAATGAATGTCTCAGACTCATAAAGTTAAGGTAAGGAAATCAGCACATTTTTGATAAATCGAACAATAACCCGCCAAACTATAAAAGATATATAGACCAAGATGGTTTGGCTTTTTGTTTAGTCGCAGTATCCTTTCGTTATTTAGAAGTTGTTTGACCTTGTTTTCGCCACTTGGTCATATTGGTAGGAAGACTTAGAGGAACGCACCTTGTTCTGAGTCAATTTTATGCATCATCATTTCCATAGTAGGACCATGGACGTGGTACATTCCGAGATGTTTCACCGGTATCGTCAGTGAGTCTCGCCATTCGTTGCACCATAATACAACTCGTCAAAAAGACAAGTGAAGCCCATCCTTTAACCAAATGTGTGCTAAACAGTTGTAGTATCTTCTCTTCTGCCCTGGGCTATTCACATTTCCTATATCGTCCTATCATGCCTTCCCTGTCAAAATATTGATCGTACTTATTTTTACTGTAGTGTGGTGTGCTCCTTCGAGCCGCATTCATGAAAACCCTTCACACGTGTGCTGGGAATATTGACCAGACTTTGTCATATAGTTACGTAGTCCTTCCCTAGGTCCTATCAAAGTCTCCTTCTTGCACCGCCAAATCCGTCTGCTATGTCCCTGGTACATGTATTTCACTCGACACCTGCCCCCCCCCCATCTGTGCTATTCGAAGCGTAATTCGTCCATACCCTGCACCTGGGTAAGTGATTAGAGGTTAGGGCCTCAGAGTAAGTCTCATGGTCATGCCTTTACTACACGGATAACGTCTCTTGTAAGACCTACTGTCAGCCAACTAGCTCCAATAGTCACCTCGTCTATCCTGTCTATATCCCTAATACCAAGTCTATGACTTGCCATGCCCTAGTTGCTTGTGTACCAACCCACTGCTGGCTTTGATTAGGTTCATTGTTAAACCACAACGTTGGTGGGTTGGCATACCAGAGACTAGGGCATGGCAAGTCAAAGACTTGGTATTATAGATAGAAAGAGGATAGAAACAGTGGAAGCTAGAGCTAGTTGGCTAACCATAATCGTGATTCAAGGATCATGTTTATGATCAAACATGTATATTGTTAGCCAAATAGCTTTAGTCTTTCCTGTTTCTATCTGTAATACCATGTCCATCACTTCCTACGTCCTAGTCTCTTGTGTGCAAACCCACAAATATTGTGGTTATACTTGTTTTCATCAGGTTCACTAATGACGTCTCCTATTTGCTTCTGATTGTTGTTTTATCATCCCCCTGCGATCTCTTTTCCTAAAATTAAGGATATTACCTTGATCCAGTCATCTTCTTTTTGCTCATCTTACTGTTGTCTGGTCTTCTCCCAGTTTGTTTAGGCAATATGCAAAGTTTGCTCTAATCCTGCCTTCTTCAAGTCTCCTGTCCATTAGATATATCTCGGTCAGTATTTCGATTGCCTCTAAGATCTTGCGTTTTCTTGTATCTTTACCACATGCAGCCAACCTTTCGATCGATTTCCAGTCGATTTCGCGCCCCGTTCGTGCAATGTGTTCCATTATTTCGGATCTTTTCGTATCCATATTCCTGCAGTCTTGAATGCTCTGGAGTTTATCGCATCAAATGCAGCAACTGTGAACAGAAGTATATCGGTGATACAGGAATAAAAATCGGCCTACGAAATAAGGAACACCAAAGACTCTGCATGAACATGGATACGAAAAGATCCGAAATAGCTGAACACATTGCACGAACGGGGCACAAAATCGACTAGAAATCGACCGAAATCGGAACACTTATCAAGGATCTAACCACCAAGATTAATTGTACACTGAAGAATATGCTCAATGAAATGCATAATAATGGGGAAATTGACAGATGGATGATTAAATCTTTAATCAAAAATGACACAAGACCACCGACAGCCTACGGACTACCCAAGATACACAATGAAGGAAATACGCTAAGACTAATAGTCAA